CCCGGGCCCGCCCCTCTGCCCTGGACACGCCTCTCCGCCCCGCCCCCTGTTCCGGGCACGCCTTGCCCCGCCCCTGACACGCCTTCCTCCGCTCCGGGCCCGCCTCCTCGCCCCGCCCCCTTGCCCCTGCCCCGCCCCTCCGCCCGCACCTGGTCCTCCGCCGTCCAGATGGGCCGCGCCTGCTCCTGCTGCACCGCGGCCTTGACCTCCTCGTACCAGGCGTCGCCGGTGCCGCGCAGGGGGACGGTGGCTGCGGGTCGGGGCGGGGCGGGGCGGGTCAGCAGGGCCCCGGCCCACACCCACCCCCCTGCCCCGGTCCGCCCCGCACCCCGCACCCCGCACCGGTGAAGAGGTGCCCGCTGTGCTTCTGCAGCTTCTGCGCCTGCGCGTACAGGCGGCGGCTGCTGCGGCGCGAGGCGGGCGCCAGCCACTCGCGCAGCGCCTTGAGCGCGGGGCGGCTCTCGGGCGCGCAGAAGACCACGATCGGGTAGTACTGCACGTAGTTGAGGCGCTCGATGGCCGACGGCGTCACGTCCAGCAGCGCGTGCCTGTCCTGGGGCGGGGCGCAGGCAGGGGCGGGGTCCGCGGCGGCCGGGACCCCCCACCCCCAGACCGGGCCGCGGCGTCCCCATCCCCGCGCTTACCCTCTCCGCGATCACCCGCACCGTGTCCAGCTTGATGATCTTGGATGGGTTGTCAGTCCGGGACACGCTCTCTGAGGCAGGGGGACACCGCTAATGACATCCACGGTGGCCCCGGCCCGGAGCTCTTGACTCTCCGGGGACCCCTGCGGAGCCCGTCTCCCATACCAGAGCTTGGCCCATCGCACACTGACTCCAGCCCCTCCCCACCTCCCACTTCTGTCCCCGTGGCTCTGCCTACTATGGGGACCCCCTGCTTCCTTTCTTTTTCCTGGCTGAGTAATATTCCCCCCACCCCCCCCACCCCTTGCAGCGGCATCCACTGCAGCCATGCACCCTGTTACGGCCTGGCTTTCCATTCTTCTGCACATCAACCCCAGTGGCTGTATTTCCCGATGACTCACGAGGTGGCGGGTGACTTTGCCCTTTGAACCCGCCCAGCCTCCTCCGTTCCTGAGCATCCCGAATCCTGCCGTCCCTTGTCGTCCGTGAGGCGCGCCAGGCCTCCCACAGCCCTCTGCGGCTCCCCAGCCCCAGAGCCACACCCACGGGCCTTGGCTCCCCTTTTATTCAGTATTTTTGTAGCCCAGGCTGGCCTCCAACTCTGTGTGTAGCCCGGGCTGACCTTGGACTCCCGATCCCCCTGCCTCCGCCTTCCCAGTGCCGAGGTGACAGGCGTCACCAGGCCTGGTTTATGCCGGTTTCATTAAGTTGACCAGGCTGTCCTGAAACCCGTCATCCTCCTGCCTCAGCCTCGAGGCGGCAGGGATCACGTGGGATGACGTTCATGTGCGCGCAGTGAAAAGTGAAACAAAAACTTAAAAATAAAGAGAAAACCCGAGCAGCTCTGCAGCAAATGAAAAGTTCCCCGAGGCCGGCGGACTGCGCCCGATCGACTGAGCATGCCTGGCCCTGGCCCTGAGTGCTGTGTGCTGTGATTGACTGAGGCTGCCTGGCCTGGGCGGGCGGGTGGTGGGCGCTGACATCGATTGGGGCTGCCTGGGTGGGTGGGTGGTGGGCGCTGACATCGATTGGGAATGTCTGGCCCGGGCGGGTGGGCGCTGACATCGCTGACGTCGATTGCGGCTGTCTGGCCTGGGCACGCCCCCCGGTGCCCTGGCCCCGCCCCCGGCCGCCGGGTCTCACCTGCAATCTCGAACTGGTCGGGCATCTCGGCTGTCAGCCGCTTCATGGCGATGTCGGCCACCGGCCCCAGGATCACCACGGGGCGCTTGAAGCTGGCTGGGAAGGGAAGAAAGCGGTGCGGTCAGGGGCTCAAGCCGGAAGACCAGGCGGCTGAGGCAGGAGGATTGCTCCCAGTTCATGGGCGGCAAAAGAAGGAAGTGCTGTTTTCTTTCCACTCCTATTTGAGACTAAGAGAGGAGTGGGACAGACCGGCAGCAAACCAGGCCCGCGCTGTGTCCGGCCCTCGGCTTGACTCGATAAATAAAGTTTTATTGAGGTGCGTCTGTCTGTCTGTCCGCCTCTCCGGTCTGCAGCCAGTGGGGCACAGCCGGGCTGAGGGCCAAACACGCCGGGGCCTTTTATTTCCCATTAGAACAAGTTTGTTTTTAGTAACTCGTTTTGAGACGGGGTTCACTGTGCAGCCCGGCTGTCCCGGAAGTGTAGCCCAGGCTGGCCTATCTCAGCCTCCCAGTGCCGGGGTGGCCGGTTCGTGCCGCCCACGGAGCCGAGCCCACGGGGAGGGCGGCGATGGCCCGGAGGCTGTGACCCCGGGAGGGCCCGCGGCCACCCACCTTCTCGCAGCACCACGCGTTCGTAGGGCGGGTAGTGCCCCTGCCGGGTCAGCGCTGACAGGTCCTCGCGGCTCCGATGCGCTGACTTCTTGGCCCCTCGGCGGAGCCCCCGGAGCCGCCAGAACTCGGCCCGGGGGTTGGAGGCGGAGGAGGCGCCGGGACCCACACCCGCGGCCCGCTGCGCGGCCTCCAGGCTGGCGAGCTGCTCCGCCCTGGGCGCAGAAAACGGCCCAGCTGAGGACCCTGAACTGGGGCCGTCCAGGGTGACGGGGACCCGGTGACCAATCGGGTCCTCAGAGGGGGAGGGGGAGG